GACTAGGCTTGCTGTTGTGGTGACAAGGTGACAAGGTGTAGGCAACAAAGTTGAGTACAGCTGGTTTTGCACCTTCCCCAAAACTGTGTTCTTCCCCTCAACCCCGGAAAATTCAAAGCAGCAAAACCAATCGCGATTATTCTAGGTTTAAGGCACACCCTCTCTAGTCTCTCGCTCAAATAGTCGCCTCATCGCGATCTAAGTTCTCGGTTCTTGCTTCCTCGCTTTCTACTCGTCGCGTGCTCTCTTCCCGTTCTTTTACATCTTTCCTCGTCTTTCCAGACATTAATCTCAAAATGGCGAGGTCGAAACTAGCGCCACAGAAAAGGGTGAAGCCAGCGACCCAGAAGCCGCTAGGCGTGGCGAAATCCTCCGCGAAAATACAAAAAGCGACGGTTACCGCCGCGGCGCCAGCCGCGAAAGGCCAATCGCACATCAGCGCGAAAGCGAAGCCGCTTCTAACGAAAAAACAGGAAATGTTCGCAAAAAAGAAGCAGAAGAAAATCGCAGCGAAGGCAGCAGCGGAAGAGGCGTCGAAAGCCAATCAGATCACGCGAGTTGTCCACGTGGGGCTGATCCCGAAGAGCGAGTTGCAGGGGAAAGCGGCGGGCTCGTTAGCAGGAGCACTGCAGGGGAGGGAAGTGGTGGGCTTTAAGAAGGAGAAGGTGCTGGTGCTGTCGTCGCGAGGCATTGTGTACAGGTCGGTCTTGGTGTGTTGAATTAGGGTTTGGGTCATTGAAGGGGTTTGGTTTGCACAGGGGTTGTGAGGGGTACACGGTTTTTAGCAAAGTTTTCGGGCTGAGTTCATTGGACGGCTCACATACGACAGATTTATGTCCTCCGTCACACCCGCAGGGTGGATGTGGCTCGAGCGACGTCTCACGCAACCTTGGTGAATGAACCCCTCTCCTCTCTCCCTCACTCCTCTCACTCTCTTTCTCCCTGTCTCCACCCTCTCCCTGCTTCTCCCAGGTACCGGCACCTAATGGAGGACAACACGGCGCTGCTGCCGCACAGCAAGGAGGAGCCCAAGGTGGACGTGGCACACGTGCAGCTAGCACCTCCCAGGCTGTGGTGTGGTGCGCCCCTATGCCATACCCGACCACCTCTTCTCCCTCCCATCCCTGCAGGTACCGCCATCTGATGGAGGACATCACAGCGCTGCTGCCGCACAGCAAGAAGGAGCCCAAGGTGGACGTGTCACGTGGTCGCCAGCTCAACGAAGCCCTCTCCGAGCTCATGGACCTACGGGGCTGCTCGCTCTGCCTCTTCTTCGAGGTACGTTGCTCTTCTTCCCTTAATTGCCCCAATTCACTCCACTCCACTCCACGCCACGCCCCTCTGAGCTCATGTGTCTCAGGGGCTGCTCACTTCGCCCCTTCTTCGTGATAGGGTGCAGCCCTCAGCTCCCCTCACCCCTACCCCCTCCCCCGAGGCCATCCCTTCCTATTCTATCCCCCACCCTTACCCGCCCCTTCTCCTCCCCTCTACCTCCCTCTCCATCCCCCGTCTCTCCATTCGCCCCGCCGCACCTTGCCCCTGGCACTTTGGCTTCCGCACTGCATGCATCGGTAAACTCGTATGGCCACTCCTATCACTCAATTCCTGGCACGGGCCTTATATGCGCATTCGCCGGACCTGCATATCTCTTTCAGCCATCTATGTCCCTGTCCCTGCCGCCCATACACTGGTGATGCCAACCATCTCTCTCCCTCCACCTCTGGGTCCCTCCCTCTGCCAGATGCGCAAGCAGAGAGACCTGTACCTGTGGCTTAGCAAGGGGCCCTCGGGTCCTTCCGTGAAGTTTCTCGTCAGTGCAGGTATGCTCGCTCGTCGTACGTGTGGGTGTGTTCTTCGAATGCGCATGCTTGACTATCGTTTCTGCACCTGCCATGCTTGACTATCGTTTCTGCACCTGCCATGCTTGACTATCGTTTCTGCACCTGCCATGCTTGACTATCGTTTCTGCACCTGCCATGCTTGACTATCGTTTCTGCACCTGCCATGCTTGACTATCGTTTTTGCACCTGCCATGCTTGACTATCGTTTTTGCACCTGCCATGCTTGACTATCGTTTCTGCACCTGCCATGTGAGACGGCTCAAAAAGACCAAGTGCACCCATTCCACCTCTACCACGTCGCGCCAACCTCCCGTTGTGCACCTTTCCATGTCAAATCCCCTTACCACCTCGTCAAGGCACACGGTGGAAGTGCTGAAGCTGCCTGGCAGCCACCTCAAGGGCTGTCTACTTCCGCCCACTCATCTCCCCTCCCTGCTTCTTCCCCACTCCCCCCTCCTACACCTCTCACTCCACCTTCCATTCCCCCCGGCATCACCGCTGCCTTCCAAGGCACACAACAGAAGGGTTGAACTGCCAGGCAGCCACCTCAAGAGCCTTTCTTGTTAACCCTCTCCTCTCCAATGTTTCTCCCCTCCCACTCCGAACCCCCACATCCCAAACCTCCCGCCATCACCTCACACTCCCACCCACCAGTGCACACAATGGAGGAGCTCAAGCTGACAGGCAACCACCTCAAAGACAGTAGGTTTCCGCCCTCTCATCTCCCCTCCCTTTGTCTCCCTCCGCACTCCACCCCTCCACACCCCACCCCATCTCCACACACCGCCACCCCTCAGTGCACACAATGGAGGAGCTCAAGCTAACAGGCAACCACCTCAAGGGCTCGCGGCCGTTCCTCACCTTCTCGCCCTCGTTCGACCGCCTGCCCTTCCTCTCCGTTCTCAAGGAGCTCTTCATCCAGGCACGCTCACATGCCCCCTTTCCCATTACAATCTTCCATGGACACTCACAGACCTTTTTTCCATTGCAAACACACTCTACTCTGTCACGTGTTCCCCTCAAATTCAGAAGTCTTCTTTTGCATCAGGACCCGTTGCCTTGCTGCCCCCACCCAGCAACCCATCCCCCCTCCCCCACTCTCTCCCCCCCCCCCCCGTGAGCGCATGTAGACATTCGCAACCCCCAAGGGCCACCGCAAGTCGAAGCCGTTCTACGATCATGTGCTCACATTCACCTACCTAGATGGCCGCATCTGGTTCAGAAACTACCAAGTATGTGTGCTTCCTTTCGGCTTGAGAAACTCCCTGTCGTGATGAGTGTAAACACCTCAGTGGAAAACAGTGACACGCCATTGGTGGTCCACCTCCTCCCATGTGTGATGTGTGTCAGATATGCATTCCTGGAGCAGAGGGGGCGGCCAGAATCGATGACATCACCATGGAGAAGATGTCACTGGTGGAGGTGGGTGCTGCACACACTGGTGTGGGGCGGTGTGGTGCAGTGTGGTGTGGTGTGGTGTGGTGCGGAGGTATGCACTTCACACGCATGCCTTGATGTGAAGTCAACCCCACAGTGGAGCCGAGGGGCGGCCAGAATTGATGATGTCACCATGGAGAAGATGTCACTGGTGGAGGTGGGCGCAGTGACATATGGGTGTGGTGTGGTCTGGTCTGGTCTGGTGTGGTCTGGTCTGGTGTGGTGTGGTGTCATGTGGTGTGGTGTGGTGTGGCACGGTGCCATCCCTATGGGTGCCAGGGTCACCAGTTTAGGCACTGTTATTATTGCCGTTGTCGGAACAGTATTCGAATAGTTGTTTGTGAGGATTACGTTGTGTGTGGGTCATCTGCACGTTTGCAAGCCGGGGTTCCTTTCGTGTACCCTGAATGGAATTGGATACCTTGTCTAGAATTCGGTCCGGTAGTGATAGTCTATTTCATGAGGAGCTTTCACCTCATTTGGGACTCTTTCTCCTTGCCTCCGTTTTTCCGTCTTCCCTGTTCCATGCAGGTGGGACCTCGCTTCTGTCTAAACCCCATTCGGGTGTTCGCTGGCGCGTTCGGAGGGCCAACTCTTTTTGAGAATCCAAGTTACATCTCACCAAATAAGGTGTGTATAAATCTGGATGACGCAACATGAGCATTATTGTTTGCATGTTGATCATACTCGATCCGCCTATGTTTTGTGACACACATCCATCACGTTCATTGGGCCGTCTCCGCTGTTGCCCTGTCAGATTCGTATCAATGAGAAGAAGAAACACGGAGAGGAGTATCGGGAGAAGGTGCATGAGAGGCACTCAAGGGAGACCTACAAGGTGGTGAATGCGCTTCCTGTGGAAGATTTGGCTCACGTCTGGGATGGGAAGGAGGATGGGGACGAGGATGGAGAGGAGTGACTAGCAGATGTGAGGCTGTGACAATTGATATTAAAACAATAGTACCGTACCGTAGGTTTTGTTTGTCTATCATGTTTGAAGCATGCATAATGTAGTTAGCTATTTGCAAATGTACACCTGCCACTTTGAGGACGTCGCTAGGGGCACAGAAAATTGCATACCGTCCACTCCAGGGCTAATTTTATCAGTGTAAATCACCCTGATACCCTGATAATCAGGGTAATTTTTGATGGTCACACTGATGGCCTAGGGTTTTTTTTTTTAGAGATAGGTTTACCCTGATGTGTCAGAATTTTTGTGTAAGGCACGCTGATGCCCAAGGGTTCCCGAATCCCGTAACGGGTTTTACCCTGTACCGAGTACCCTTCCCCCCCCCTCCCCCCAGTACACCCACCCCTCCTTTCCCGTAACCTGGGATTCCCGAAAGGCAACTGTCGAAGCCGGAATTTCGCCCTTGACAACTCATGTGCTGGCACACAGTGGGCCACCATTGGTCAATTTTACTGTTTCGTTGTAGGCAGCGCCACCGACGCAACTCTGACTGTTTGTCTGGCATGACAACAAGGCCGGGTTAGCAGGAAACCTGGCTGACTGTAGCAGAAAGTCGGTGCCCACTAGCCCACTGGGCACCGCGTTCCTTGCACGACTGTGGCTGGTTCTGCAGTTCGTTTGCGTGCACGTTAGGAAACTGAGGCGAGAACGGACCGGGGGCATGAACACGTTTGAGGTTTCACCTTGCAAGACCAGAGCACTCACGCTCAGTAGGGATTCGTAGGCGTTTCTTCTGTTACACACGAGGAGCCATGGCTCCTGTAGGGGACGACGATGGTGAAGCTGCTGACGAGCCACCGAAGGATGCGCCCGCGCGAACAGGCCTGGATTTCCTGCGAGCGCTGCATGCAAACCCTCCGCCTGTAGGCACTGCAGGCCCGTCTTCTTGCAGCAATGAGAAAGAGCAAACAGCATGCCCGACTGCTTCGAATGCCGTCGCGCCGGACAGTGCTCCCGCCACTGTCAGCGTGACAGAGGTCGGTGAGTCATCGTCTGCAGCCTCGAAGAAGAGGCGTCGCTTCGCGCAAGCCGTTCTACCGTATGGCACGCCCCCTGCGAAACCGACTCCGCCTCCAGCTCCTGTCCAAGCTCCGAAGCGCGTGACCCCTGAACTCACCGCCGCCGAGAAGGCTGAGGAGAGATTTCTGAAGGCGCAGCAGCTATACATCACGAAGTGGCTGCCGAAGTTTGACTGGCTGCTGCTTGACAAGAACGAGGAGGGCCTGCCCATTCTGCGATGCAGCATTTGCGTGGAACATGGGAAAGACGACGCGAAGTTTGGACGGAACGGAGTGGGGGGACGCGATCTGCAGATCGGATCGATGCGCTGTCACGAGCTGAGCGGCCGCCACGACGAAGCGATGAAGCAGCAGCAGACACTCATGGCGGAGATTGAAAAACAGAAGCGCATGGACGATTTTGCCAACACCGACAAGGAGGGCGCGCGGCTTACTCGTCTCATGCGCGGCGTGATCTGCGACCATGACGCACCGATCGCGATGTTCCCGAAGCTGATAGGCTTCCTCGCAGAGGAGGGAGTCGCCGACATCCCACTTCAGTCCTATGGCGTGTACATCACACAGTACGTGCATGCTATTATGTTTTAAATGTCAGGGCTGCATCTTATGTCGTAACGAGTCCTTCTGGATCTAATACCATACTCTCGTCTTGCGGCAGGTACGGATTCAACGAAATGGCGTCGGCCATGGCTAAGTACCAGAAAACTCAGCAGCTGCAGCATCTTCTCGGTTCACCGTTCGTCGGCCTTACCTGCGACGAGAGGTGCTCGTGGAAAACACTTGATTGTGTTTGCCACGTTCCTCAAGCATGGCGTGCCCGCCACGGAATTTCTGGCGCTGCTGACGGTGCACAAATGCGACGCGTGGACTTGAGTCGATTGGAGTGGACATCAAGCGGGTGTCTGGCATCAGCACCGACGGAGCTTCTGTGATGACGGGGGACAAGAGCGGCTTGGTTAGCCGCTTGCAAGAGCGCGTGCCGCATCTCGTCGGATGTCACTGCGTAGCACATCGGTAAGCAGGTATCTGGCATCGGTAACACATCATGCGATAAATTATACCCATTCATAATGCGTAACTAATCTACCTTCTTGATGTTCTGCAGTGAAGCGCTAGTGGTAAAGGATGCTGCGAAGGCCTTCCCCGACCTCAACATGATCGACGCCGCTGTGCGAGCTGTGGGCGAGATTACACAAGACAAACCTCGAACACCAAGGACTGTTCAACGTCAGATGGCTATCGCGGGGAGACGCTATAGCGCGGCTATGCAGAGTTTTCGGGGCGGCAATCGTCATGATTGTGGAGTACGGGCACAAGATTGCTGCAACAATGCAAACGTTCAAATTCCACTTCTGTTTGTACTTCCTCGCAGATATTCTTGCCGTTCTGAACTCGCTCAACCGCTTCTTCCAGCACCGCAAGGCAAGTATTTTCACAAACATGTTTAAGTTTGGTAATACTAAAATTTGTTCTGTCTAACCTTTGCGACGTGCCCGGTGTTTGGCAGGTGGACATCACGCAAGTGGCCAAAGAAGGTGACCACACGATCACCATCATCACGCACCGATGCATCCAGTACGGCGAGACCTTTGGCGGCGGGGTCAGCAAGCTGTTGTCCAAGTTCATCAAAGAGCATGGAGGTGACAACAGGACTGTGGTGGTTGAAGGGATTGACGCGGAGGGGCGGCAAACATCACACAAGTTCGAGCTGAGCGAGACACCCATCAAGAAACACAAGTTTGGGGGCACGCTTGCTGACTGCGAGAAGCTGTGCTCGGGTTTCGCGAAGGAGATTGTCGCACGAATGAAGTACCGCATGTGGGACTTGCAGCAGTTGGGCGGCGCGAAGCTGTTTCAAGTTGAATCGTGGCCATCCAGAGAGGACCAGCGCGATTTGAAGACCCTCGAGTGGCTAACAGCAAACGATGAGCTGTTTGGCGGCTTGCTTCCAGGTGAGGTTAGATTTCTCACGTGAGATTGATCCGATTTGTACGTTGCATGTTACAATATATACCAGTCTCTGACAACCACCCGCAACTACTTCCCCCGCCCCAAACCACCTCCCCGTCAGGATTCGATTTCAAGGCGGCGAAGAAGGAGCTGAGGAGTTTCTGTCACATCATGTCACGCCATCACGCGGGGGAAGATTTCCATCAGGGCCTTCAAAGCATGTTATCCAAACCTGATGACACTCTGGCAGGCCCTCGCTGTGCTGCCACTGAGCACAGTGGAGTGTGAGAGAGGGTTCAGTCGCCAGAACATCATCAAGAGCTGGATGCGCACCTCCCTTTGCGACGCGCGCCTTGGTGACCTCATGACGTTGCACATGCTCAAGTACCCATACGTCTGGCCAGACGTGGTGGACATCTGGCGCAAGCAGAAAACCCGACGCCCGGCGAAATCAGTTGCGCATGCGACACTCGAGCTGAGGAAGGGGAAACAGAAAGCACCAGAGCCAAAAGAGGAGAGTGACCACGATGAACACCCTTGTGGCATGTCTGATGATGATGACTAAAATCTGTATTGAGTGCAACGTTAAAAATTAGGTAATAGGGTTTTATTTTACGTACACTGATGTGACAGGGTATTTTTTTTTGAAAAATTGGTTAACCCTGATGGCAAGGATTTTTTACAAGGGGTCACACTGATAATCAGGTTTTTGAGCTGCTGGTACACTGATCCCAAGGGTTGGTCAGATCCAAAAATTTGCCCTGGTCCTCTCTGCTCGAGGTGCTCATTTTGCTTTAGCCCACCCTGCCATACTAGTGGATGCTGGGTGTTTCTCAAACCAGCCGTGTTTCTCATTTTGATTAATTTTTCACTGTCATGAAACCTCGGGACAGCAAGCCCTCAGATTCACTTTTAGGGACGTTGATGCATCAGGGTCCCTGTGAAAAAAATCCTGAATTTTCAGGGTTCCTAAAAAAAAAAAAGCATGAATTTTCAGGGTTTCTAAAAACATAAGCCTGATGTTACAATCATATTAAGAGGTCTTGTGAGGTATGAGACATGACGGCTAAACATACGAACCGGAGACCTTTCTACTCGGTCGCAATTTCGCTGACCACTGAGACAGTACATCCTGTCACCAATGTCTGTCTTTAAAGGTTTGTACTTTTAATCTGGAAAAGTTGGTAAACTGAATCTCTCGGGTGTTTTACGGGACGGATTCGGAATGTGCATTCAGTGTACACTTCGATAGAAGACTGAAAAATCAGTGTTAGCTATGGAATAAAGGCTGGAAAAATCCGTGTCATCTCAACACTGAATAATCAGTGTAGGTACACAAAACTAGGCTGAAAATCAGGAATTTCAGGGAAAAATTCCTGATATCGTAGGGCCTGCAGGACAGTATGATTACGGTCGAGTTTGTTCGGTAAATAAATGACCTAGAAAACATGGTTAAAACAAAATATTTAAAAATCGATGCCCCTCCAACCAGGGCCCGTGCTAGGTTTTGGGGCACCCTGAGCCCTCAGGGCACTTTTCTAGAATCTTAAAAAATGCCCTGATTTGTCAGGGCAAATTCTCAAAGCCTTCCTGTATGTTCAGGGCATGTGCAAAAATCAATACTGACCTGTCAGGGCAAAAACAACAGTGTTCAGGGTTCAGATTTTAGTAGCACACAGACAGACCAGACCAGACTCTGCTGAGCAGAGCAACAGAGCAGAGCAGAGCAGCACACACATATAGTCGGTGTTTTACTACTCAATTAACTCCTACACCACCTCTTACCCCTCCTCCACCTCATCATCGCTGCTGCTACTAAACCCACTGTCGCTGCTGCTGCCGCTGCCATGTTCAGAATCTGCTTCTTGCCCGTCCTCCAACACATTCCCCTTCCCCGCCTTCTCCTGCTTCTCCCTTTTCTTTATAGGCCTCCTCTTCTTGCTGCTGCGCCACAAATCCACAACTTTACCCCATTCCATGTCATACTCAACCAGGCTCAGGCACATCAAGTCACTGAGCCTGGCATCACAGAGGCTTGTCCTCTGCCAGGACTTAATCACGTTCTGGCGGCTAAAGCCGCGCTCACACTCGACGGTGCTGAGCGGCAGGACAGCCACCGCTGTCCAGAGGCGGACGAGGTTGGGGTAGCTCCGCTCCCAGTCCTTCGTTCGCAGCATGGCCGCCAGTCCGCGTTGAAAGGTGCGCTCGCCTCGGGGAGCGCCAGCAAGGACAGGGACGAATGTCCTCAGTTCCTTCTTGGCAGCACGCTTGTCCACACCTGCCACGCATTACACACATAACAGTGACAGAACAAGGAATTTTCTGGTTATGCACAGAGAAGGTACAGAAAACGGAGTTTCGTGGTGATGCACAGAGCAGGGACAGAAAAAGTCAGATCGCTGGTTACACACAATACAGGGACATACCAAGGCAGAGTGTGGGCATAGGACAGAATGGGTTAAGGCATAGGAGCTTGTGCTTACCCGGGAGAATGTCTGCTCGCTCGTGGGCATGGAATAAGTCGACGAGAGTCTCGAAGTGCTCGAGGCACTCCTCAGCGCGTCCCTCCTTGTCTTCAGGGTAGGTGTCTGGCATAACAATTCGGACACCGTTCCGGCTTTTGAGATCCCCCAGCCTCTTCTGGAGGTGGGTAAGCGTCGACTTGGCGTGGCGGCGGCAGACATCGAGGCACGACTGCAAGTCATTCGGTGTCTTGCTGTAGCCCGTCAATACCTCCTCGTGCAGCTCAAAGGTATGTTGTCGCTTCTCCCCCTCCTTGTCCACACCTGCCACAGTGATTTTCAGAGACTCACTGAGCCTGGCTAGGAAGGCCTCGAGATGTAGCTGTGGGCCGCCACCGAAGTCATCGCCGCACTCAATGTAGCGCGTACGGATGGTGATCAGGGTGCGGCGCACCGATGTTATGTCGACCCGCAACATGACAAGGAACAGTTTCAACAAGGACCGTACAAACCCCCGTGCTAAGGGTTTCGGCCTTACAGAGGCTACTCACCTCCCGCTTCTGAAACTCCAGGTTGAGGCTGTTGAGGATGTTGAGCATGTCGGCGAGGTAATACAGATACACATTGAACTTCACTGAAGTTACAATGTGGTAGAAGTCGTCATCCCACTCCCAGAGGAGCACGATGACGGCAGGGAGCACACGCACCAAGCGTGTGATGGCATCGCCGCGGCTCAGCCAACGGACTGAGTCAATCCCCTGCAGTTCAAGTTTTGTCTTGCAGAACACCTCCTGCAGCTCTTGGAACTCGTTGTGAGAGGGCTACGACCTTCCCAGGTATTCCGCGAGTTCCTTCCGTACATAGTCGATTAGGCCCAGCTCACGGTCTGCAGTGGCGACGTTCTTGGCGGCCAGCGCCTCTCTGCACGACATGATGTGGGCACGAGAGAAGGGGAGGTTTGGTTTAAGTACAGAGGAGTTGCATCGACTGTTTTTGCGGGCCGTTGCTGCCCGTCCACAAGGAGACTATGGAGCAGATCACCGTCATGTCTAGAGCAGGGAGGGAGGGAGGGGGGGGAGAGGAAAGTATGGGGAAAACAGAATGGGTGGGGAATGGCATGAGCTTTAGATCATGTGAGCGCCTGCCCGCCCTACACTTTCAACGCAACGTGATGGG